CATTTGCATAAGATAACCAAAGTTCTAGCCTGAAGTGATAGTATCACACTTGTTACTCCTTTATTTAAAAGCCGCGTTGTAGTATGCTTACGTATAGGCACTGACGTTGGGTGCGATACTGGCGGGTTTTGCCGCAAATCACTCTTATTTCATTTATTTTTACGCAGATAGATTTATTTGGGTTTGCAAGGTAATTATACTATTAAAATATTTCAGAAAGTGCCCAACAGTGCTCCTTCTACTTGCGTGACAAGCTTTCGTTGTTGTTTTCATTGAGGTGTTACTCAGGGAACAATATTAAACACCATTTTTGTACATGGTATTGCAACTAATCTTATATGTGCTTCATTTTGATTTGGGATAAGTGTTTGAACTATGGCTCGGGATTTCCACTGTGGCGTGCTTCTATTGTGACATACCCATATTTATTTTTGTGGTGCGACATAGTGGAAACGTGTGAGCGTAGTTGCAGCATATACCCTATGTAATTTAAAAATCAGCTAGGAAACTAACTTCAAAGTGAAGCATTTTAGTCACTTGAAGGTGTCACCTGGGACGAACTAATATATATTAAATATAGGTCAAAGTCAAAAACAACTTCAAACACGTTACATTTTAGATTACATTCACAAGTGCAGGTACTTAATAAAGTATGGTAGGTAGATTAGAGGTTTCAATTATTTATTAAATTAGACTAGAGATATCATAATCATCAAACGAACTTAAATAAGAAAATTTAGACAGCCTAGTAGCATTAAGTGGATTAACAGAAGAGTTAGGATGCGGAGGGTCCGCTTAGGGAGGCAACTATCCTTTAAAGCAACTGGCAACTAGCCTTTTCATGTATTGGCTGTTTTTTTTTATTATTGCTTTAAAATATCAATTTGGTATATATGTGAAAGGATGAATCAGTGGGAGATGGATTTTCGGTTTCTTTACATTTAGCATCACTATGTGTCATTTCCTCAAAACCCCCCAATAACCGGCCTCTTCAATCCCTTCCTTTTCCCATGGCGTTCAAGTGGTCCGCATAGACTATTCAGCCATTACCCGTCCTTTATCATCGGCTTTGGATTGACTTGCGCTCCCATTGCCCCACCAAACGCTGCAAAATGAAAGGAAAAGAATTCCAGGAGAAGTCTGACATGAATGCCATTTTTTTATGAGAGAACTAATGAATTTCTGAATTCACTGCAAGCATTCTTAGAAATTTTTCAAAAGGAGTAGATTTGCAATGGAAGGAACATTCAAAGGACATTCTGAAATGAATTCAATGAAAATTCTGAGAATAATTCAAAAGAATTTCTTAGTGAGTAGCATTTTCAGGTTATTCCGAGGAAAATCTAAACGGATTTGAATTCCCAGGATCAAGGAATCAAAAATATCTCCAAATGACAAAATGACAAGCGATCAACGAACCGAATAATAACGCTAAGTCAGTAGTGGAAAGCAATAATGATTTAATCATCTTCCTTATTTTTCATGACAAGCAGCCCGTGCGACACAACTCACTCGGGGCGGTAGAAGGAAACGAGCAAATTGTTGGCAAGCTGCTTCACGAAGTAAAGCCGACGACGATACACGTGTGTTAATGGGAATTTTTTTGTTATGTCTTTTCTCGATTCATATCAAGCTATGTCCTCATCAATGTATATTGCAACAAAGCAGGCAAGCAATATATCATTATCCTTCTACCACTCGTATCGAGCTATGTTACAGAGCGAGTTTGTCATGGTAGTCGTAGCAACCGTTTTGTCTGTATCGTTGGTTGCTTTATGTGCTTGGATTCGCTGCCCAGGATAGTTCCAGTGAAATTGCAAGGCTATTCCGGTGATAAATTTTAGAGAATTCAAAGGAGAGTTTTAAGAGACTCCTGAGTAGCACGAAAAAGGAATTCCTAATCATTCCATAGGAATTTCTGAAGAATACAAAGTGAATGCTGAGGAGAACTCCAATTGAATTTCCAAAAGAAATCTCCGGGGATCTCCTAGGTAATACTGCATGAATTATTAATAATTTGATGAGAATTGTGGATTTTCAAGAGTATTATGGAGTATATTATAAGGGAACTTTAATGAAACTTGCAACAGCGGCAAACCATACTGTGGGGTGACCCCAAACTTTTGATCGATGACTTGAATAACTATTTTATTGATCTTTTAATTTTGGTGAACCTCTTAACGGAATAATTGCTTATCTTTTGACAGATAGGCATATTTCGTCTACTACTTGCAGACTTCATCAGTGCCAACTACTCAACACCACCATTGTATTGACTTAAAGCATATTCAAAAATTATCAACCAGACTTTCACAAACGTATCTCGATGGGTATAGAATAAGGGTTCTACTACCGCATTCATTTCAAAATTTGGCTGACCCAAAATCATTCATGAATATTCAGTGTGAAATTTGGAAAATGTTGTAACTTTAGGAGATGTTTTACGAACGAATACAAAAAAAATGTAAAATGTATAATTCAGTCAATGCATTTCAAATTACCTATAAAGATCAAAAATCGGTCGTAAAATGGCAGAGACATGAGCAAAACATATTTACATATTCACAGTTCGAAAAAATAGTGTAAATTTCTGTTCAATACGATGCACATAAATGGAGCGTCACATATCATATAAGTTTACATTATAAGTCGTATAATGTTCTGAGACATTTCATAAAATGATGCAATTATTGTATACAACGTACAAAGTTGCTCATTTGCGTGAAATGAAATACAAGTTTACGTGAATGTATCGTTACATCACAACTAAAATTCAGAATTTTTTGCTGTGTTTTTTAAAGGGTGACCCAAACTTATGATCGATAATGTAAATCTAGGAAGTGTGCCAGTTATGGAACTAGCGCTCCCTGAATTGGCCATATGGCCTACTTCATGTTCAAAATAAGTTAACAAAATTTTTCAACGTAGGCATACACAGGGTGTCCATCCATCCGGGAAAACCGGGAAATCCGGGAAAAAAATCATGAATTCGGATTTGCCGAGAAAAAACCGAGAAAAATGCTGGAAAACCTAAATCGCACCGGGAAAGTTATTGTATACTCATCCTAAGTAACAATTTTGGTTTTATCATAGTCTTGTAGGCCATAATTTGGTCTTCAAGAATCATTTAAACCCTTATAAAATTTGCAATTTTACATGGAATCAATATTGTTTTTTAATATACATAATTATATTCATTTGTTTTCACTTCTGTTTACAATTTTCAGAACAGCATTGAGATACTAACTTCCTGTGGATGAAATTTTGATTTTTATAAAAAATTCAAGGTTTTATCAGCAATCAATACGAAATCAACGATTTTTAGTTGGCTCATAGACTAATAAAAAAAAAAAAAAAAAAAAGAACACTTATAAAACAACTGAGTTGATCAAACGTTAAATAATAGCTCCTAGAGTAGAACAAGAATATTGTTGCATTGCCATTTGGTTGAAAGCTTTAAAAACTGCGTGGAGCGTTTTTGAATGATTGTTTGCGTTTGGTTTAACTATATAGTCATAAGACTTACGATACCTTTTATAGCGCCTCAGTTAAACCGATTGACAAGAGCTGTATAGAACGTGGAATAGAAGCATTATACTCGAAAAATACTTCTCTTGTGCAACACTATGTATTGAGTTTAAAATGATCATAAAAAAAAAAAAAAATAGTGTCAATTACTATCACTGCACACATTGTTCAAATACACTAAAAGTTGCTGCTGCTGTTCCCCCCCACCACCACTGGGAAAAAGAGATGATCGCCGACCGCTCAAGTACCAACGATGTGTTTCACCGATTTTTACCGCACTCCAGTTGTTATTTGAAGGAAGGCATCCAGTCGTACGTTTGGAAATTGCAGCTTCTTTTAAAATATCATAATAACATCTAATGATTTTATAATTCCGAAAAATATTTTTATAGCATGTGAAGCAACCCTGACATAATGTAATAAATACTGAAAATCAAAATTTTCTGACTGGTGTCCAAAAGTAAGAAGTATACACTAATCGAGTCAGTACGGTTTTACTGAGTTTTTGAATTGCGGAACTGTTCGGTAAAAGTTTAAAAATCTGTGGAAAATTAATAATGAGAAAATTTGTTCTGAACTTGTACATACATAGTTCTGTTAACCCCATTTAATGATTGAAAATAAAATTTCTAGATTTCATTGATTCCTTACGAATAACGGTCATTTGAATTTTACCGACTTTTTCAGCAATTCAAAAACCCAGTAAAAAAATACTGACCCCTGTAAAAAAATCTTAGTGTGTACATATATGATAAACACACGTTTACTTCCGCAACGCAGTCTTAACATTTCGAACAATACTTTTTTTCTACAAGCAATCAAAACGTTTTTTATTGCAATGAAAAATTTGTGATAAAGAATCACTTGTAAAACCTTTATTTTGGAAAAGGTATCCCTCGGGCAGAAGTGGTTTTTCTTCAAATGATCGTTTATGTGACGATGAAAACGCTTCACATAACCGGGAACTTTGACGCGGGAGTAAACCAGATTATCGGTAACCTGAACAAAACATAGTGTTAATAATACAAATTTATCATACTTACTAAACATACTGACGAGTTTTTAGTTATGCTCCTGTATAGTTTCCAAAATTTCTTCCATATTATTACACTTTCAACGGATGACATTATAAATGTACTGTATTTACAGAAGTTCGGATAAAAACACAGTATTCGGTAAAAAATAGGTACGTCACCGAACTATCCGTAATTATTTCACAGCTTTTTATAAACCTGCTTGTTTTCACCGATCTTCCGGCAAGTTTGTGAAAAAAAAAAAACAGTAGAAAACATAGATTTTACTGAAAAATCTTTAAAGTTTTCGTTCACAGATCAACTTCGGTACTTTTTTCACAGAATTCCGTGATCTATTCTAAATGTGTAGTAAACGCTGGTATTCAAGTGGAATTGTGACAATTAAAAAGGGAAGGCTTTTTTTCAATATAAAACATTTTATTCAACGATTCAGCCAATAGCAACGGAAATAAGTTGATTCAACTTCCAATAAATATTTTTTTCACTTATCATGCTAAATGCACAAGATCAACGCTACAACTATTGACATAATAACTCTATCCTTCTATCCTAGAATTCATCCTTCATCCGTTAAAACCGTAAACGAATCTGCCTTGCAAGCTCATCCAATGTTGTAACTGTAACACACTAAGTAGTAATATTTCTTTCTTCCTAACGATCGGTTTTTCGCAACGCTTGAGTTTAAATTAGGATAGTCTTTGTTCGTGCTTTGCACATCTTCCAGATTGAGACTGTATAAATACGCGCAGCAAATAATTACTGTACCATTTACTTACATTCTACTGCTCGTATTTGTAGGAATAAATCACAACACTCATTAGTTAATCGCATACTGCTTAACACATAATAGGTACAAAAGGAGCGTCAATTTCTAACTAATAGTTATTCGGTTTTACTATAATTGATTGTAAATTTTCTTTCTTTATTGTATGTACGAATTTGATAACTAAACTATTCTACGTCATACAATTGATCTTTAAGTCGATTGTTGTTTGATTAGAGAAATAGCTAGGGAAGGCCTCAGGATTAAATGTTCAGAGTTTTTTTTTTCAAATAAGTACAGCGGAAGTTGAAAGAATTCATACATTTTCTTTGTTTGGAACGGATCACTGTATCAAATTGTTCGTTCTGAAGTATTTAGCTGTCTATTGGAAAAGATTGTGTTTATTCTTTAAAAATGGAAACATAGTTGGAAGTTCGGGTGTGGTTTTAAAAAAAACTACACAACTACTGATTTCAACTCGAAATAGGTCTGGCAACAACTTTATATACAGGTTTCCTATGCACAAATCGTAACATTGTACAAGTATCACGGATTGTGCTGCATTACTCCAAATGCCGATCCACCGATTGTCACTTCCCCAAACGCCATTACCAGGAAACCCCGAAAGTGGAAAGAACGAGCACAGTCAAAAGAAGGCAGAATATCATTCGGGGTAATGGCGTTCGAGGAAGTGACATTTGGGGCTATGGCATTCGGCATAATGTAGCACAACCGTATCACGATTACTTCAATTATTAAAAAATTGCTTTCGATGCAGCCCATTGATAAGTCTTCAACAGATTTTGTGCATTTTGATAGATCATGTTAGTTGTTCTACCGCTATGCGCTAGTGGGGACTAAATGGTTGCACGTTTCATAAAACATATTGGAGAGTATATCTAGTTACTTGATATGATTGATTTGTGTTCATTGGTAAAATTGTAACCTTTGGAATCACTCGAAAGTGATTCACTGCTTTTATCATTTCACACTGTGTGTGCGTGGATGTAATTTTTTTTTGTAGTATCGCATAACTATAGAATTTGAATATAATGACTATCTAAAATTTCAAACTCAACAACGATCTTCGTTTCTTTAAACCACCATCTTTCTTCTTCTCTTTCACACTGCTATCATCTTTACTCTCCTTTTTGGCTTTCTTGTCTTCCTTTTTATTGCTAATATTGTTGCCACTACAACCATTTGCATTATTTAAGCTTGCTTTCGAATCTGATTTTTCCTTTCTTTCAAAAAACTTCCTTTCCTTCTTTTCCTCCTTTCTACTACTGGTACTACTGGAGCTGCTGGCAACGTTGGTTTGTATGTTTTGTGGTGCTGGTGCTGGTGAGCTTGGTGTCGTGGCGGATGTGGGTTTCGTTACTTTTCCATTCGCAGATTGTGTAGTTGGAGTTTGTGGAAGCATGCGTGCAACCGGAACTTCAACGATGTCCAGGCACTGAGAATGAAATGGAAAAAATCGTGTAAATTCTGAAATCAGGCTTGATTTTTTAACAAAATAATAAATACATATAATTCTTAAATTAAATGGAACGCAATTGAGCACTGCGTCTGCCTTTTAGAGTATATTGATAATTGTATTGGAAACTGTCTTATTTAAATCACTGTCGTAGGCCTGCCAGTACCCAGTTGTTCCCTAATTTAATTAATCAATCCACTGCATAAAGCACACAATTGTTACATAATATGATAAGCCGTCTACCTACTTGCAGTAAAACACATAACCACACTCCCAACTCCGATTCGTGTGTAAGGATCCATTTTAATTCACCGTATGCCGGAGCGCATCGTACGTAGCTCGTATCGATAGCCGCTATAGAATCATTACTTTGTTTCCATGTCATTCCACAGATTCAGAGAAATACATTAATATATTCCAGGCGTCTCACCGACATAAGGTTAGACTAAAGAAATTAAGGCAAAGCTGTACGCCATAATTGCTGCATCTAGGATGCGACATAAACACTAGTATTTAAGATAAACCATTTGGATGAATAAATCGATCTTGTTCTAGCAGACTCGACTTTCAATGTACTCTTCGCTTGCTCACCAGCCCGCCGATGTGCTCTGGGCCGTTTTCCGGTTACCAGTTACAAACTAGCTAAACACGAAAAAATCCGGACACGAAAATGTTGTTGGGGTTTGAAAATGCGTTTTATTTTTCATAGTTCAATGTAACAGGTATACATTAGTAAATATTATGCTTATTGTAACACCATTGTGTTAGTCTTCCTTCTTACCATAGATTGTCCGAAATTTTCTTCGTACACGGCCCATCATATTTTGCACGAGCCCTGTTCCCACTTGTTTGGCTGCCAAATTCCATTCTCGCTTGAAATCCTTCAAGTCAATTGCAATTCCACCCAATTTCCAGTGAAAACTAGATGTATTAGTGCTCATTGCAAGACAGCCTATATTTCATGATATAAGCCATAGTCTGTACCAATGAGCACTCAAATGACGACGTCACTCTACCACAGAGATTTTTTTTCAGTAGTCGAAAAATGTCTGTGAATTTCAGAAATGTCTGTAAACTGTATAATGTATAATGCGAAATTTGAAGTGTCTGTAAAAGTCATGTTCGAGCAAAAATGACCTGCTTTTAACGAATTGAACCTAATTGTAATTAGTAATGCATCCATTAACGTTAAAAGCAATTCATAAAAATATAAATTGCGATTACACGACAAATGAGGTCAACTCAAAGTTGAGATTAGTTTACTCATATTCTTGAAAACGTAGTAAACTCATAGACTGAGTAAAACTTTACGAGATATTACAGGAATTTATTTCTAAGTTGATCAACAGCTTGATGTACATATGAAATTAGTACACGGAAAAAAGTTTTCATGTAGTTTCCATTGAGAATGCACATTACATTTTTCCATTAACAAAACCAATGATATCTATCTGAATTTCACATAACATTCATGTGATCACATGAATTCTATATGTTAAATCACTTAAATTTCATTTGACACAAAATGTTCATGTGATTTTGTGGTACAATTCCCAAGAAAGTTGTGTGAAATTCTAATGAATATTTTCCATTGGATATGTGATTTATTCTTTGAGTGTGTACTTCTAAAATGAGTAAATTTTTCGTCGATTTTTGTCATATTCGAAAAAAAATATGAGGCTCAGAAAATTTTACTCATTCTACAAGTTTGAGTAATTTAATCTTAAACTCTCATATGTTATGTAGTGTGGAAATCCGTTAGTTACTTATTATTGGTCCTTTTGCACGCCAGCAATGGGGGAACGAGCACATCTTAGTGAGAGATTTAACTTTTCACCACCTAAATATGGAAAAATCGACAATCAAAAGAGAAATTTAGAAGCTTATTAGTACGATTCTAAACACTTCGTGCTCAAAAAATGTTGATGAATCAAGATCAGGGTTGCTGAAACGCAACATATTCATTACATTTTGCAAAATGTAGGAAGCAATGATATTTGCCCGGAGATTTGGCAACAGAATTGATGGCCAAACGCAAGACCAAACGATAGGTGCCATCGATGCTGATCGTCACCGAATGCCTGAGATTGGGGAAGTCTGTTGAGGTAGTGATGGAAATCAGTAATGTCCTTGGAGATATCGGAGAATTCCCATTCGTGACATATGCGTTTCCGTACTTCCTATAATGTGTGTAATGCGCTATACTATCATCTCAAAATTTCAAGAGCACAGCTGCCACAAAACATACAACAATGAAACTGGAACTTCACATCTGATGCAGCAGACAGGGAGTTCCAACTTCATGAGTGATATCACAACTGTGTCCGAAACTTGTTCTCTAGAACACTTGAAGTGCAATTTGTGGACTCTTCAAGGAGTCACAATAAATGATTTTTGAACATATGATTTTCGAACAGATTTATCAACCAACAATACTAAAGAGTGGATCAGCAAACATGACCTTATCTTGCAAACTGAAGCACGCCTACGCAAACCAATTCCACCATCGAATAGGAGAGAATTTTCCCTAGCCGACGGTGTTGTTGATTTGGCAAGGTGAGCTTCGATTGGCGAGAAAAGACCATTACAAGATTTGATTACAAAAGCTGATCCGTCTTTTTGAATTGTTGGTTGACGACGACGTTCCTTTCTTATAAACAAACGGGTGTCATCGTTACCTGTCATGATACTTATAGAGATATGACCCGATATAAGAGATATGACCGATAAAAATCAATATTATTTGTTTTTAGAGATTTAAGCACGATTATATCGGATGAATCAATATAAATCAAACGTACGAATTTTTAATGCGTGTTGCAAAATACATTAAAGATGTAAAACAGTGTAAAATAATTAATTTTAAATTTTTTTTCTTGATTACAAAAGTCTGTAAATATCTGTGAAAAAACTAAAAAGTCTGTAAATGTCTGTAACGAAAAAATGTCTACGTAAACAATAAAAGTCTGTAAATTCACAGACATGTCTGTAAATCTGGCATCTATGTTCTACCATAACATTCCAAACTGCGCACAGTAAGATTTACGTCACTGACAACAGCTGTTTCGTGTAAAAAGATAAACATTGCAATGAAATACGAACACCACTAAACATTTGAACATTTTACTAACACCAATAAGCCTGTTGGCTCGGACCTTATATAAATGACATTGAGTCTGTACGGGGTATAAAGAGCTGTAGGGATGTGATAGTATTAGTGGTTTGGTTTCTATTAGAAATACTCAGAGGGAGAAATAGGCTAAGAAAACAAAATACAATTCGGCAGCAGGGATTTGTACCTTAATTATCTTACATCCCTTGCTAGAAGCTAGCATTTCACATGACTTTTATTTTTGATTCTATTACTGCAAAATAAAAATTGATTGCATCGCAATATTTTGCACATTTCCAACGAAGATCAACTTATCAAGAGAGTTAGAATATTGTTTTTGATTCCAAAAACTAGTTGAATTTGAGAAGCACACAAAACATAAAGGTGATTGAATTTCTGTTCGATTGCAATACTCTCAAATTAGTAAGTAAGAATAAAAAATCCTAGGAAAAATTCTAATGGGAATATTCGATTGGCTCAGATTTAGACAGTTCATTTTGCTCAAAACATTCTCTCCACTCATCTCTCCCTCTGAGTATTTCTAGTTTCAATGGAATATCTTCGAATCAAAGTGTGCCAAGAGAAAAATCGCATCTTAATTTATCTTGTGCAGCTCGGTTGAATGTATGGTAGGTGGAATCGACAAGTGGTGTTAGATTTTAGAACCGTTTCTGAAGGAATTCATTTGGTGAAATCCTTTTATATTTTTATTATTCATAATACATCATCAAAATTGTAGATCAAAGCGGTAAGATGAAATAAATTGTTTTAGATGAGTATTACGCTGTCTGCATAAAAAACACACGTTATAGTAGTTCAAGATAACTAAGCTCCAACCACGAGCATCTATCTAGTTGATGAAATAAGTAAAGAGCAACTGGTGAATGTCACCTTGGACAGTGAGTCTCACTATTCTGGCCATTTCCGAGATTCACGGCATTCAATTGCGCTCGTTTTGCGTGATGAAACGTTCTCGCTTTGATCGTTGGTTGATGCGCTGGAGACTATCGCGTGAGTGCGTGATATTTTGCATCACTGCGTAGAACAATTGGTTACTGTGTGCGGTAGAAGATGAGCTTAGTGGGTACAGCGGTTCAAGCATTCAAAGCGCGTGGAATTAAGCCGATTAATCCTGGAGTCTACATCGATGAAGACTTTGAACCAAGTACGATAACATAAAAATTGCACAATTACCAGACCAACCGATAACTCACTCTGCTGATGCTAAAGTTTTACCAAGACAGTATGACGAACTAAACTATTAGCAGAGTTTAATATCTAAATAAGTCCGGTAAGGTAGCGCGGGATGCAATTGTGGGAACTGTCCTCTGAGATCCATCAGACTCTTGTGCAGCGGATTATGGTACGAATTTTAAAGAAAGTTCGTGATTTTGTCGAGCTGGAATAATTGATCTGATATTATGGAAGCGCAAGTGCTTCGTTTGACTACCCCCGACGAAGTGTCATTTTCAATTTGATCTTAGAGTAGGTAAGGTAAGGTGTGGTAATACGCGACCCGGGCTAATATCACAAACTGCGTTTTTTCTGGTACTATTAAAATACTAATTGATATAAACAGTTTCCCAGGTGATAGTTTAGCAGCTCTTCTAGTGATTCTGGGTGAAAATACATAAAATTTGTTTTGAAAAACACTTAAATAAGCGCAATTGCGGGGCACGTATTACCCCACCTTACCCAAACATTATGAGCTTCATTAAGACATATGACTGGTAGCCTTAGCTGGTGTTTTGATTCATAACGTTTCATTTCGCATGTGGTAAATGACGAGCATATGTTTACAGCAATAAATAAATTTTATTATTACATCCAAGAGGATGCACTTTAATCCTGTCGAAAATCTCATGTATTTTTATGACCACAACAATAAACAAATGCAGTAAAAGCAGTAATGTCAGTTCATGCACTGTATTAATGATAATTTTGTCATTTTGAGCATACCATATTTTCGACTCGATTCAAGTACATCCACTTTTATGTTATATTAAGATTATTTTTTGCTGTGTTAGTTTGTACGGCGTCTAGATTAACGGGGTTCAAATTAGAAGTCGTCAGATTAAAAACAATCGGATTACCGGAGAACCACGGTATTAACATTTGTTTTTACGTCAAATCAATCGCGAGAATGAAACGGTTTCATGCGTTCTGATTTTAACTGGACCACACTTCATGCCAAGTCCCACTTCACTCTATGGCTTGAAAAACTAGCTATTTCTCAATCTGGAAACCGAGATTGCCTTTTTCGTATAGCTAGGTATACTGTCAGGTTATAAGAACACTCGAAAAAAGAATTTTATCTGCAAGACCCAAAGCAAGGTTGCAAAGACTCATTTCAGCTAAAATAATGTTTTTCGGAATAATAAAACCAAAAGATGGTATGATGGCATGTTTTACTTGTAACTTACAAGAAGAGGTTACAAAGTATGCGTTGGAAACATAAAACCTGTAAATTTTGCTTTCTATGAGTCACAATCAGCGATTTGCTGATCGCTGAGTGAGTGAGTGAGTGAGTGAGTGATTTTGTGAAAAATCGCTGATTGTGACTCTCATGAAGTGAAATAAACAGGTTTAATATGTCAAACACATTCTTTGCAACCTCTTCTTGTATCCTACCAATTCAAAATTTGATCATGGCATCTAATTATTTCATAATTTAGAAAAACATTGTTTTAGCTGAAGTGAGTCTTTGCAACCTTGACCCAAAGTATATACTTTGCTTTTATATGAGATGACAGAACCGATCCCATTTTGTTAGTCGATAAGTGCCATAGATTTTGTTCCGATCATTCAACTGATTCGGAAAAATGTTCAAGGCAATAACATTTTTCCACTTAATGTACAACTTTTTACGAAAATCTCAAAATTTTGGCTTGATTATTTACTATTCCTTAATTTCATAAAAATACTTACATCTTCCATCGCTATTCTAGGGCAGCTAATCTCCTCTGGGTAGCGCCATGGTTTCCGCAGATGTGGTTGGGTCTGCTTCCAGGTAACGTATCCCAGTGCCGCCTTCTTGAGATCCTTAACCATCCGAGGGCCCAGAGTGTGGGTAACCTTGTTCACTAGCCACGGCGGAAGCGTCCCCTGGGGATCACAGTGTGCCACGTACTTCAGTGTGCATCCAGTCTTTATGTTTTCATCGGTTTTGAGAACAAACCCTGTAATGTAGGACATTGCCCTGTAAACAACAAAAATGTTATTTGATTTTGGTTTTGGGGAATATCTTGCAATGTTTGTGGCAGCAGAAATAATTAAATAAATACCTAACGTATCCCTTCTTGGGGGGATATTTCCTGTGCGGTACCGAGCGGGAAAGTAACATTTGTTCTCCTCGAGGGCCTGTGTCGAGCCATGACCTCTGGAGCACGAAATCCCTCGGTTTTAGCGGCGGCGGGCAGGACACTGCAAGCGTTATAAAAGGAAAGAATAGAAAACCCATTAAAATCATGATTGTATGATGTAGTGACTGTCATCGATAAAAATCTCGTTTCTGATTGGAAAACATTTCATTTTTCAATAATTTTCCTTTTCCTCTAGAGTCGTTTACCACAAGAGCTTCCCCCTCCTAGGGTAAATGATTACGAAGTGCTACAGCACAGCGAACACTATGATCACACCGTCCGTAGTGAAAAATGATTTGAATTTCCTGTGATGAAAGGTGACATAAATTGATCGTATTACTCCGCTCTCGCGGTACCTGTGGCATTTTCACGTAAAGTTAGACTGGCTTGAAGTGAGATAGAAACAAACAATTGCAGTCGAAACTAGCTTCCAGCTAATTTTAAGCTTCATATTAGACACTTAAGGGATGAAAACTTGATTGCTTTTCTTTAACAGGTTTTGATTTTGAAATGCTCATTTTAGGCCTAGTATGGCAAACTTTTCCAACTTCTTCTTCTGAAGCACATTCTACCGAAATTCTAATCTTTTGTCTGAATTTAATCGCATGAAGAGTGCATCTAAAATAATAGAAATTCATAAAAATATTCTAAGTTCATCTTTCTCAGTTATTTTGGGAACGTTGCAACGAAACCGTTAGGAGTGAAGAAGTTTTTGGAAATGAATACAATGTTTTCTAGTGGTGCCGGTGGTGTAGTGGTAAGCGTGATTACCAGCAGGCCTGAGTTCAATCCCAGTAGGCGCCACTGGGATGTTCTGAGGCATAACATCTCCCCGGTTCATGAGTTGATGGGTCGATGCAGGGTTCAGGTTTGAGAGCTTGCCTCCCTGGCGTCGATAGAATTGATGCTCAGCACGGAAAACAAGATCGACAAAAAACAAATCAAGGGAAAAAAAAACATATTTTTTCAGACGTGATCGAGATTTAAATTTGTCCCATAGAACATCGGGATGTGGAGTTCTTATTGCAATTTCATAAAAATTTAATTCGGAACTTATAACTTCATCGAAATTCAAAGAGTTTGAGCGTGTGTGGGTAAAAACAAACTTAGCGGACCAAACGCATATTTTCGCAACAGTATATTTTCCAGCAAACGCATGCAAATCTTCTTATGAAATCCTATTTCAAAAAAATGAAGAAATCATGTCTCGATTTCTTCCCGAATCCAAAACATATATTTATGGCAATTATAATCAACGAAATGCTGATTTCATCCCTGACTCAGCAAATGAGAGTATTCTACTACCTGTCGTTGGCGGTAATGAAACTTGACAATTCATTTATGATAAAACTGCATTTTTGGGACTAAACCAAATTAATTATGTAAAAAATGAACGGAATTGCTTCCTTGATTTTCTATTAATAAACATACTTTGGAAAAATACAGCGTTTCACACAGCAATCGAGTATTCTATATTTGTACACGAAAGCCATTATCCCAACGACTACGACTTCGAGAATGTTTTTGATTATAGAAAAGCCAAATACGATAACATTAAGTATAAATTAGGTAGAGTAAATTGGCAATGCATTTTGAGGAATCAAGAAAATATTGAATGTGCGATAGAGGTTTTTTATTCACACTTGATGAAAGTAATTCAGGAGGAAGTTCCTGTAGCGAAAAAAAAACACGCAGTTATTGCTCTAAAAATTCTGTTTGGCACAATACACAAATTATAACCTTAAAAAATCGGATACAAAAGGCTCACAAAATCTACAAAAAAACACATGATTCAAATTAATTTGGAAAAGTACCTAAAGCCAACTACGTTCAGCTTAATACACTTTGGCACTTTTGGATTACAATATTGAAACGGAAAATAATATAAAAACATGCCCAAGAAACTTCTTCAATAATGTCAAAACTAAAAGTAAATAAATCATCAAAAATGAATTTAGATGGCAAAGAGGGTAATTACTTGGAAGATATCTGTAATCTTTTTGTCATTTTTTTTTTCAAGAAACATATACAAACTATACATACGAAGATCGCGATTATGCATATTTTTCATACTATCCTGATTTTTCAAGAAATATTGGTATCAATAACATTCATGTTTAAGATATACTGACAGGCCTGAGAGATCTTGACTCCATTATGGCTCAGGAGCAAACGGAATGCCGCCAGCTCTAATAAAAAACTCAGCAGTTGTTCAATATGTCACTTGAAACTGAAATATTCCCAACAGAATGAAAAAAAAAATCGTTTTTAATTCCCATTTATAAATCTGGTAATAAATCTAATATAAGAAACTACCGGGGGATCTTTTATCTCGTGTATACACAATCTCTTTGAATCTGTAATAAACAAAAATATCTTCATTCAAATAAAAAAAAAAACAGAATAACAACAGCACAATAGGGGGTTTTAAGGGTCGTTTAACTACCACAAACCTACTGGAGTTTGTTCATTTATCATTAAATGATGGATAAAGGTAACCAAATTGGAGCTCTTTATACTGACTTCAGCAAGGCTTTTGATAAGCTGGACATTCCCATGTTAATTTTCATACTTGAAAAACTAGGAATTGAGGTAAACTTACTTAACTCAAATCGTACTTAACTAATCGTCAGTGAGCTATGTTACATCAGGAGTCCCCCAAGGGATCGCATTGAGGACCCCTTATTTTTTATATGTTAATGACATCTCACTAATAATAAGAAATCTCAGGGTTCTTATATATGCCGATGACATGAAGTTATCTTAAGAAATAAAAAAAGAAAATGATTTGAATGTGTTTCAGAATGAAATTCATATTTTCCAAACATGGTGCTGCAAAAATTTGCTGAAATTGAACGTTAAAAAATGTAATCTCATAACGTATAGTAGAAAATTATCTAAACCAAGTACTCTTATTATATTAGGAAACCAATATGTTCAGAGATGTAACAAAATAAGATATTTAGGTGAGGTGACCCCAGCGTAGTGGTTAACATCCATACCTCTCACGCCAAAGTCACGAGTTCAAATCTCACCCCCGGACAAGTCACGAATGACCCAAGAGTGTTAAAGTGAAATTAACATTTGTGAATAGAATAACAATACATAGAGCAGGCATTATGCTTAGTTTTATAAAGTCCTTTAGTTTCGATTTTAAAGATCGTTATACGATTAAATCCCTTCATGTTACATACGTGAGGCAAATATAAGAATATTGTAGTATTGTTTGGTCACCACATATAACATGAATAACGAATAGAGTCAATCCAAAAACAATTTTTGTTATATGCTTTGCGCAAGTTAGGATGGACAGTATTCCCTCTCCCGTCGTATGAAGCGCAATGTTTATTTATTGATTTTCAAACACTGAGAGAGCGTTGCGAACATGCTATGGTTTCTTTTGTGAATAATATTATTTCACACCGCATTGACTCAGAATATTTGCTGTCTAGATTAAATTTTTGCGCACCCTCTCGACAATTATGTAACCAAAAATTGTTCACAGTAGATCACCATCGCACTAATTATGCTGAATTTGAACCGCTTAACCAGATAATGTCTGCCTATAACAAACAGTCCGAAATGATCGATCTAAACATGAGAGAGAGAAGGATTAGTATTTTCCATTTAATTCCACTACTTTATTTGTTTATCCTTGACAGATACGCGTATTTCGTCTACAATGTGCAGACTTTTTTCAGTGTCTTGAACTAATACTCGAGTATAAGTACAAGACACTGAAGAAGTCTGCACATTGTAGACGAAATACGCGTATCTGTCAAGGATAAGCAAATAAAGTAGTGGAATTAAATGGAAAATACTAATCCTTCTCTCTCTCATTATACAGGTATTCCACTAAGACGCCCACATTCATCAGGATCTAAACATGTCAAAGGCAAACTTGTGAACATACACAGTTCGAAAAAGTAGTGTAAATTTCTGTTCAATATAATGCACATAAATGGAGCGTCACATATGATATAAGTTTACATTATATATCATGTTAAGTTCTGACATATTTCATGCAATGTAGCAAATATTGTATACAAAAGCCCATCTTTGTAAACAACATTGTTTACAAGTTGCTCGGTTGCGTGTGATGAAATACAAGTTTACGTAAATGAATGTTTACATGACAAATAAAATTCAGAATTTTTATCTGTGTATTTCAAAACTCTGCGAATCACTAGATAATAAGATAATAACAATGTAGTCTCCGATTAACTGATTGACGAAAATGAATAAATGTCGCTAAATGTTCTAAAAATATTGTTGCTTTTTGTTTCATTGTATGTGTAACAAATTTACTTTTTTAAAAAGGGCATTCGATTATTGAAAATGATTTCTATCGTTTTGAACCAGTCTACTATTACAAGGCTTTAGTACAATTGACGAGCGGCGGTTTTCCTTTGCTTATTTCCGTGCCAGGAACTAGGTACATTAGATTTTCGATTTAATCGCGCTTTATCTTTCCCACCATCAAAAAACCAGGTCGTGAGATTGATTGAGCTTAAAATTGTGATTGAGATATAGCAGATATTCGGAAAATCGCTTTTACCGAAACAATGAAATTTGCCACACTATCCTTTTAGTCTATATGGGTTGTTTTAAAATGATAAGAAAACACTAATCCAATTGGAACAACGTTGTGAAGGGTCTAAGCTAATTAAAAACTGATATAGTAAATTAAAACTAATGGTTATATAAATCTCAAACTGCTGTAGTACGTACATGAAATTATCATCGATTGTAAATTGTTTTCAAATTGAATGAATAATAAAAGCAGCGCTAAGAAGCGGTCTCTTTTTAGTCATTGGAGCAACATGAACGTGGTGTATAGGTACATGTTACCACTGTTGCATAAATATGGTTCAACACTAGCAGTAATGAAGTATGTAGATAGCAGGTTTTATATAAGGGGAAACAGCCCTATTGTTGCGGTACGTTAGCAGCGTTAGAAGCCTTTTGTTGTGTATGGAGGTCTCCATACACAACAATACCCAAGTAACAATTTTGGTTTTATGAGGGTTCTCATTATTTAGGCTTGTAGAATGCTGTAAA